ATTAATATATAAGTTTTTATTAAAAAAATTAAACTTTTTAATAAAAACACAGGCAAATTTGCCTGTTACAATTTAAGGGATAGTATAATTTTAAAAATCAGCCTGTACTACGTATACGTACCAGATGAGAATTTTGTAATTTTTACTACGTAAAATTATACTACTAAAATTAAAATTTTTATATTACGTATAAACGAAATTCAGTATGGGGAAGCCCGATTCCGAATCGGGAAAAAATCCAAATCCGGGTACAACATATATAAATTTTTACAAAAAAAAATATAATAGTAAAAAAATGATACAATATAAATGAATAAAAAAATAAAATAAGATAAAAAAGAAAAAAGCAAGCGAGAAAAGAAGCAAAATACCTGGTTAAAGTTTTAAACGTGGTTCGAAACTGAAAATTCATTCTACATATTTTATAAAATAACATTACAATATAACTAACTGATAAGGTATCGATTTTTATTAAGAGATTTTACTTTTTTAAAAACTATTAAGCATTTCTAGAATTTCAATAAAAACTTTAAAAAGTTTATTATTTATGATTCTAAGTTTTATTTTTGGGTGTGAAAAGCTTTCACTTTTTAAGATTATTTCGTACATATTCAATATAATTATTTTCTTGCCTAGCCGCTAGATCATTCTAAGATTCTTCTTGATTGAAAATGAAAATAACAAAGTATAATAATTTATATCATTAATTTAATGAAATTGATTTGGGTTTGATACTATTGACTAAAATGGACTATATATTTAGGTTTTCGTTATCCTAAGTAGAATCCCGATTTCCAACCCCAAACTATGTAGTAGTGTCATAATTAAAAAAATAAAATAAAATAACCGCAACCTTATTTCCAAAGTTTGCGCAAACTTTCATTTTGTTCTTCGCCCTTCTTCATAACTTTAGCAACGGCCATTTCAAAATCTTCTTGAGTTACGTGTACTCGACGTTCACGAAGAGCGTACATACCAGCTTCAGTACAGACAGCCTGAACCATTACAAAAGAAAATATTAGTTTTATAAAAAAGGGTAGAGTGTTCGAGTACAAGACGAATTACCTTGACTTCCGCACCACTAGATCCTGTCATTTTTTCTGCGATCTTGCGTAAATTGATGCCACGAGTTAAATTCATCTTACGCGAATGAATTTTTAGAATATCAGCACGGGCCTATCAAACGAATTATGAATAAAAAAGTGTAAATTACATGAATAATATATTTTTGAAAAATAAATAATAAAATTACATACAGCTTCAGATGGTGGAGGAAATTCAATCTTTCTATCAATGCGACCAGGCCGCAATAGTGCGGGATCAAGTATATCAATACGATTTGTTGCCATGATTACCTATAAAAACAGATTAATTTATTAGATAAAAAGGATGGTATCATATGTAATATGCATATAATACTAAAGTGTGTGAAACCTTAATATTCTTTGTAGGCTCAAAACCATCCAATTGGTTTAATAATTCTAACATTGTTCTCTGTACTTCTGAATCACCACCACCTGAGCCGGATTCTATACGTGAAGAACCAATCGAATCGATCTCATCCATAAAGATGATGGATGGTGCATGTTCTCTATTTTTTTTTTAAAAAAAAAAAACGCGTATAAATTGAACGATATTAGATTGAAAATACGATTAAAGCGAAGTTAAATGAAGGATTAATAGACACACGTACCTTGCCATAACAAATAGTTCTCTGACCATTCTACTTCCTTCACCAATATATTTTTGTACCAGCTCTGAACCAGAAACACGAATAAACTTACAATCAGTATGATGAGCTACAGCACGTGCCAAAAGGGTCTTTCCAGTGCCGGGAGGGCCGTAAAGCAAGACACCCTATAAAATCGAAATAATTAAAGGTTGAATTATGATACAATATTTTTCCAGAAATATAAATAACCACCATACTTTTGGTTGAGCAATTCCTAAACTTTCAAACAACTCAGGATGCTTCACAGGTAATTCGATCACTTCCTTGATTTCCTTAATCTGCTTATCTAATCCTCCAACCATCTCATATGTCGAATCCGGAACTTTTTCTACCATCATCAATGAAACGAGCGGATCAACTTTATTAGGCAGAATTTTATGCAATGTATAAGAATCATTTCGGAGGGCAACTCGGCAAGTCGGTGTAATTTGAGAAATGTCAATGTCTGGAGCAATGTCAACAACATATTTTCCTTCCGGATGCACCTATCGATCACAAGAAATATGATTACACGAAATTTATTTGTTATAGGATAAGCACCTATATCATACCTTGACTAGAACCTTTTTTTTGCCCATGAGTTTGACCACTTCTCCAACATATGATCCGGGTTCTTGCAACAGTTGCAATTCTTCCCTTAGCAGTCGAACTATAAATTACATTATCAAAAAATTAGACGCCCAATAGACAAAAGATTAAAGAATAATGAAAACCCAATAAATAATAATAAATACCTTTTGCATTCAAAGCATTTCTTTGGGCTTCTAAACGTCTTAAATTTTGTGTTTTCTCATTTATTATCAATTCAGCCTCTTCAATTTTGGTCTGATAATAATTTTTAATCCCTTCTCTACCCATTGAATTTATGTATTCGAAAATAAGTTTAAAATTCTATTTCCCGTGAATTTATACGAGTGCGTTTACGCAACCGATTACGTAACTGGTAATGTCCAGTAATGATCTATACACACTCAGCCAATCAAAATTCGATCACTATAATATCGATCGAGTGATCAAAAATTTTTATGGCTCAGTAACGGTAGAAATAAATAAAAAATTTTTTATCGAATTTGATCAAGCGGCTTTTAAAATATCTTCGAGAAAGTTTTTATTTAAAATATATTAAAATTTTCTAAAGGTTTAATCGAAGTTACTGTATCTCGATACCTACCTGATTATTCTACAGATCTGAGTTAAAAGAATTTTTATCAAATTAAATCACGTACGTACGTACAGTACGTAGCAGGTAGGTTTCAAGCAATCAATGATCGATTTTGATTGGCTGTCATAAAATAGATGCAATGAATTTATACTCATCATCATCTGTAAAAAAAAATTTATTTTGATCGGGTTTCGTGTTTTGTGTAAATTATATAAAATGAATCCAAGTAGCATTATAAAATTCGGCTATACTTATGTATTCCGTTCAATAAAACCTAAAGTATTTGTTTATACATGTTTAATAAATAAAGCAATGATTTTGAATTACTTTTTCGGTAGGCGCGACAAAGTATTATGTTTGAGAGTATCTACTGACTTTATAATTTTATTCGTCAAAGTGCGATGCATTCCGACAATTCAAAACCTTAGCAAGGCATATAAACAAAGGAAATGTTATTGAATACAAGGATCGATACTTTTTAGTAACAAAAATAGACTCTCATTGGGCAGGCAGGGGCGCGACAACGACTAAGGTGTCGTATCTTGTTCATGTAAAGCCATAAAGTACTAGTTTGAAACCTTTTAATTAGTCGATTCGCATAATTTTCATGATAGAATAGTTCGAATTAAAAGATGTATTAACGGGTCAAAGATTGATGGAAAGAATCAAGCCAAATGATTCGTTTGAAGGTTTGCATACGTGAAAAGATTCACCAGTTGTATTGTGATTTCAACAAAAGCTAACATAATCTTGTAACAAAAATTATAAGTGGTAACTCTCAAAGAAAAACCTTATACTTATTTATACTCTAATGATGAGATATCCCATTTTGTTAATACAGAAACGTTAGATGAACTCGAATTGGAATCAGATAAAATTGAAGGTATAAAAATGTGAATTCAGTTTATAAGAATTTTGTTATTTAAAAGTTTTTCAATTTCTTTAATGTAGGAGGTGATAAATCATTTCTACTATTGGAAGGTAAGTTTATATATTTTACATATAAATAGAGCTAAATATCTTTAACGTATTTATTTTGTTTTTTTTAGATAATATGAAGGTGACTATTTCCTTTTTAGAGACTGATAATGAGAGTCGTGCAATCTCTTTTCGCCTTCCACAAATGTATCCATACGAAGTTGTATCTATAACGCCTATGGTTGGGCATTCTTCAAAAGGTCCTGCTCAAAAAATTGTTAAAATAAAAGGTGAAATCCAAATTCAAGTACCTGAATTTATAAATTTAGGTGACAAAATTGTTATAACAACAAATGATATGAAATATTTTAAAAGAGCTTAAATATGAAGCAAGGTATGCTTTGTTTTATATTTATATTTTTTTTTTGATTTTTAAATTTGGTTTAATAAAAGCATAATTCTTATTTTATTACTAGTTATTTTTTTAATTAAAAATTTAAACAAAGTTTTATTTATATAGGTATTAAATATAACAATACCATATTTAAATATTGTATTTGTCCATATAATAATAAAAACATTTGCTCTGGATATTAAAATAAAATTGAATACTTTAATGTTATATACAATTTTATAGTTCTATATATTTATAAGTAAAATTAAAAAATATATATATAATTGGTTTGAAAATAAATAAGTAAATTTTTTTAATAATTTTAATACAGTTAGATTTTTAAACTTTGTCAATATAATATATATATACTGAATATACTAAAAAATTATAGTTATAAAAATTAAGCAATATTTAGATCAGAATTTAAGATAATGATTTATAATAATCGAAATGTAGGTTTAACGCTTACAATTGATACTTTTTTATTTTTTGTATTAGTTATTTCTCTAATGCAAATTTAAATATACATCATCAAAAAATATTTAAAAACTAATATATTTTAAAATGTTTCTTCGTATCTATACTAAAAAATAAAATTAAATATTCATGAAACTGAATAATTTATTCTAAATAGCAATCGACTAATAATTAAATCAACGCGAATCAAATGTTATTTTTTCAACTCTAATTTCGAATCCATAACAACTGATATTCCAATTCTATCTCAGCAGATTTCGAGAATAACAAACGCTTTACACTTTTCGACACTAATTCCACGATAATAACGATAATATCAAACACTTTTAAGCATATACATTGTCAAGTGATACCGACTAAACCAATTAATCATTCGGTGGTGATTTAATCCCAGTTCATATAATCCTTAATTAACCGATAAAATTTTAGTATATAGTATAGATGCTAATTAATATATTTATTCCTAGCGCTAGTTCGTTTTATTTATGTTTTATATGAGTGATGCCAAGGGAAAAGAGAACCTTCGTTTTTATTCTGATGATCGACAACATATCGGGCTTTTACTAAGACAACAATTTCAAGAATTTCAGAGGTTAGTTTATCATAATTGAAAGCAATAAAAACGAATGTTCCCTTTTCCCTTGGCGTCACTCATATAAGATTATTAAATCGTAATAGTGCAAAGTGCCTTTGACGATGCTTTTTTACGATTCAGGAAGATTATAAGTATCTAATTTTTCAGTGTTGTTAACTTATAAGTTTACCCATTGATATAAAAGCTTATTCGAGAAAACTAAAATAATTGAAATATGATTGGTTAAAGCTCACGTGATTTACGCAATACTTGATAATCTTTTACTGATTGGTCAGTGATGTTTATTTTGATGTTTAAACCTTCGCGTTCTATGCGTTCTATCTTGTTTACATGATAATATTCCTAGTTTTTGATTTTTTAATAATGCTAATCAAAAACATTTTTTTCTTAAACCATTTTTTTTTTAAAAAAACCTTTTATTTGAGGTAATTACAGATTATTAAGTATACAGTAAAGGTTATTATCCGGCAGCTTATTATGATTGTGCTGCCAAAATAACTCGAGTTATTTGGCAGTGATACGTCATCTGCCAAA